TCGTGAAGAACAAGACAAACGAAAAGAATGGAGGTATGTAAATGCGGCGCTTCGTTTTTCAACTCGTATGTGTGTGTGTGTGTGTGTTTGTGTGTGTGTATGGTGTATATATATTCATACATTTTATATGATCTATAAAAAACAAATTCATTCAACAATTATTTAAAAAAAGAAAGAGATAAAAAAATAAGAACATCATTTCCATTCAAATTTTATTTTTCAGAGTTGTAATATATACATATATATATATATATATAATATATATATTGAAAATAGTGTTCTTATTTTTTTATCTCTTTTTTTAAATAATTGTTTAATGAATTTGTTTTTTATACATCATATATAAAATGTATGAATTATAAAAAGATCATTGATGATGCATGTACTGTGTATCTACAGTGTTACTTAAAATTTTTTACTTTTGTCCTCACGTGTTAGAGATTTGCAAATAACTATTACTAATTATTAAATTATTGTTAATCTTACATATTATCAGGATAAATGGAAATTAGTAGCTGCATTTCTTCGGAACAAAGGTTTAGTAAATCAACACATAGATTCTTACAATTATTTCATTAATGAAGAAATCAAAAACATTGTTAAAGCAAATGAAAAGGTTCAAAGCGATGAAGATCCACATTTTTATTTGAAGTAAGAGCATTATCATGTACTTTCGAAAGATACAATTGTAGAAACATTGCAGACTCTTAACAGATTTTTTTCTCATATTCCAGATACTTAAATATAAAAGTAGGCTTGCCTGAAGTTCAGGAATCATCCAACTCTATTAGGACTATACCAACTACACCACACGAATGTCGCTTAAGAGATTTAAATTATTCTGCCTCAATTATAGTAGATGTTGAATATATAAGAAGTAATCAGCGGATAATAAGGCATAATATGGTTATTGGAAAGTAAGAACAATAAATATAAAATATTAGGTGTAGTAAAAAAAAATCCATTATTTTTCCAATAGATGGCTTTAGTAATCTGTATCTCGTCTACACGTGATACAGATTACTAAAGCCATCTATTGGAAAAATAATGGATTTCTTTTTACTACACCTAATATATAATAATAAATATGTAAAGTATTAAGATATAATATTATATAATTGTAAATGTTTACAGGATGCCAATAATGTTGCGCAGTTCTAACTGTGTGTTAACTAAAAAGTCTGAATCCGAGTTAGCCAAAATGAACGAATGTCTATATGATTCTGGTGGTTATTTCATCATAAATGGCCAAGAAAAAGTTATATTAATACAAGAACAAATGGTTAGGAATAGAATTATTTTAGAAGAAGATAGTAAAAATTGTATTGTTGCGGCGTGCAACAGTTTTACTCACGACAAAAAGACTAAAACTAATGTTGTGGGCAAAACTGGAAAATATTACATAAGACACAATATGTTCCAAGATGACATACTGATTACTATTATTTTCAAAGCTATGGGTATCGTAAGCGACTTGGAGATCATGCAAATGGTCGGAACACAAGAAACATATTTAAATAAATTTGCAGCTAGTCTAGAAGATTGCCAAGAATTAGGCATCTTTTCACAAAATCAAGCGTTAAAATACCTCAATAACAAACGAAAACAGATGAGATTCCATGTACCAAAATCTCATGTCACTGATGAGATGAAAGATGTATTAGCAACGAATATATTATCTCATGTACCTGTTGTCGACTTCAATTTCAGACCGAAGGCGTTGTACCTTGCCTTAATGATCAGAAGAGTTATAAATGCACAATCTGATCATAGTCTCATTGATGACAAGGATTATTATGGTAATAAACGTCTAGAACTAGCTGGCTCCCTTCTCGCTCTAATGTTCGAAGATTTGTTTAAAAGATTTAACTGGGAACTCAAGAAAATTGCCAATAAAAATATTCCCAAGACTAAAGCGGCAGCATTTGACATTGTTAATCACATGAGACACGATCTCATTACCAATGGGCTGGTTTTTGCTATATCATCGGGTAATTGGACAATCAAGAGATTTAGAATGGAAAGGCATGGTGTGACTCAGGTACTATCACGACTGTCGTACATTTCGGCACTTGGCATGATGACGCGAGTCCATTCTCAGTTTGAAAAGACCAGGAAAGTCTCTGGTCCACGATCATTACAGGGCTCGCAATGGGGCATGTTGTGCCCGAACGATACACCCGAAGGAGAAGCTTGTGGTTTAGTGAAGAATCTGGCTTTGATGGCTCATATTACTACGGAAGTACCAGAAGAATTAATAATAAAACTGGTGCTTAATCTTGGTGTGGAGAATATTTATACTCTTGCTGGAGAAGAACTAACTAGCGAAGATATATATTCCGTTTTTGTGAACGGTATCATGGTGGGCATCGTGCAGAATCATAAAAGACTGGTACGTCAGTTCAGATTGTTGCGGAGGAGAGGATATATTAACAGTTTCGTATCGATATATACGCAACATCGGCATAAATGCATTCAAATCAGTTCTGATGGCGGGCGATTGTGCAGACCATTAATTATCGTTAAGAATGCAAAATCTCTTGTTAAACCAAAGCACATAGAGAATCTTGAACGAAATATCACATCATTTGAAGACTTCCTTTATGATGGTAAATAATTCAAATTAATTTTATTGCATTTACATAGATATTTTTTTTCTAGCTACGTAATTATTCGTTTGTTATTCATTGCATATTTTGTTATTATTTAGGATTGATAGAATATTTAGATGTGAATGAAGAGAATGATAGTTTAATCGCATGCACGGAATCAGAAATCAATGAAAATACAACGCATCTGGAAATCGCGGAATTCACTATACTGGGAGTGTGTGCAGGATTGATACCATACCCGCATCACAATCAGAGCCCGAGAAATACTTATCAATGCGCTATGGGTAAACAGGCTATGGGGATCATAGGATACAATCAACGTAACCGCATCGACACAGTGATGTACAATCTGGTATATCCGCAAACGCCTATAGTGAAAACTCGAGCAATCGAGTTAATTAATTACGACAAATTACCAGCCGGTGAAAATGCGATTGTCGCTGTAATGTCATACAGTGGATATGATATCGAAGATGCATTGATCTTCAATAAAGCTTCCATTGATAGAGGATACGGAAGATGCTTAGTGTATCGAAATGCAAAATGTATACTCAAAAAATATGCCAATCGAACTCAAGACACAATTATGGGACCAATGCTAGATGGTAATACTAAAAAACCTATAACGAAGCATGAAGTACTTGATGTCGATGGAATTGTTTTACCTGGTGAGATGGTGGAAAACAAAACCGTAAGTATTATCTATTTGAACAATATTAGATATTTCATTACATTGTAATATTATGCTATATATGTAGGTAATGGTAAACAAGTCGGTTCCAACGCCGAGTGAGAATATCGGTCCAGTGAGTTCTGGCACTATACAAACACAAGCAGTGGAATATCGGAACGCAGAAATCCCGTTCAAAGGCATGGTTCCAGCATATGTGGAAAAAGTTATAGTAACTAGTAATGCAGATGATTGCTTTTTAACAAAATTGTTACTAAGGCAAACTCGAAGACCAGAGATCGGTGATAAGTTCAGTAGTCGCCATGGACAGAAGGGAGTTATAGGTATAATTATTTTTCGCGCGCACGATATTTCGTATTATATAAATGCAAGAAAAACGTACTAATCTTCGATAATGTCCATTTAGGTTTAATTGTAGAACAAGAAGATATGCCATTCAATGATCATGGAATATGTCCCGACATAATTATGAACCCGCATGGCTTTCCTTCTAGAATGACTGTTGGTAAGCTAATAGAGCTACTTGCAGGCAAAGCTGGCGTCGTGAATGGAAAATTTCATGATGCAACAGGTATATCTTAAAAGAAAATGACTAATATATTTAATGTTTAATGCTATGTTTAATATTATTATTTTCATTTGATAGCGTTCGGTGGCGCCAAAGTGGAAGATATCCGCGAAGAATTAGCAAAGAATGGTTATAATTATTTAGGTAAAGATTTCTTCTATAATGGCATGACTGGGAAACCACTGATAGGATACATCTACTCTGGACCAGTAAGTTTTTTCTCATGGATAAATAGATTGTCATTTAAATTAATTTTAGATAAGAAATTTATTTTTAAAAAATAGAAAATAAGTAAATATATAATTTAATTTTTTTATATGAATAATAAATACATTGTTAAAAAGCATATATTTTTGTAAGAATTCTATCCATCTTAATTAAAATAGTAATAGAATATGTGTGTGTGTGTGCGTGTGTGTGTGTATGTGTGTATATGTATATATATTTAAAATATTTTTTATTTCTAATGCAGATAAATAGATGAACATATTTGATATTTCTCGTGTAACGTTAAAAATGTGATTTGTAGGTTTATTATCAAAAATTGAAACATATGGTGCAAGATAAAATGCACGCTCGAGCCAGAGGTCCAAGGGTAGTCCTCACACGTCAACCGACAGAAGGACGTTCTAGGGAAGGTGGCTTGCGATTAGGTGAAATGGAGCGAGACTGTCTGATCGGTTACGGAGCTAGCATGTTATTAGTAGAGAGGCTCATGATATCGAGCGATGCTTTTAAGGTTGATGTATGTAATAAATGCGGTTTGATAGGATACAACGGTTGGTGCCAGAGGTGTAAATCCAGCTCTTCCGTTTCTACGATAACAATGCCTTATGCTTGTAAATTATTATTTCAAGAACTGCAGTCCATGAACGTAGTACCTCGTTTATCTTTAAAAGATTATTGTGATTGATTGTATAGCATAAGGAAATATAAATGTAAATAAGAACATAAATAAAAATCACGTTTCAGCAATTTTAAAAGAATTTCAATAAAATACAAGAACAGTTTGGATTTGGTTCAATACATACATAAACACAAAGTTTTTACAATTTTAGATTTATTTAAATCTTTCTAAAGTAAAAATTGTATTTGTTATCTGTCATATAAGAATCTATTGCGGATTATATACATAAATAAGTTGTATATATTTTGGAAGACGTACATTGGTCTTTGGGGTTTGATTATTGGAGAATACATCTCCGCGTGTTATTGTAAATGTCAACAAATGTTTTTTTACATTATAAATAGTTGATAAATGGATTCCCAACACGAGTTACGTTCACAATAAAATCATTCACTACCTTCAATTTTTCTATTAACTTTTTACAAATCGAATACGTGGATTGAGCTCAAACTCAAATTTCATAAACTATGAATCGGCCACTCTTATACTCTCTATATATATGTATGCACACGCATGTTAAGATATATATCTTAATAAATGCTTAATTAATACGCACCTTAACATGTGTTCAATTATTGAGATAAATCTTTCTATAAACTATATGTAATATAGCATCAAAAATTTTAAAAATATTACATATAAGTAACATTTTAAACATTTATTTTAATTATTTTCTATAACTTTAAATGTTATAAGAATTCTGCAAGTAGACGAATTTTTGGATTTTCAATACTGTTTTTACTTTGTATAAGTCGTAATTCGATTTTCTTGGCTGGTTGTGCTTCGGTATCTATATACGCTGCAAATAATTGTTTGTGTTAGGAATAATACTGAAGTATTTTTTTCGTATTGTAAAAATATTATTTACCTTTAGAATATTCATATGTATTAAGCAACACGCCATATAGAGAATTAATAGTTTTTTCCATGGTGACTTTCATATCATTTTGTAAGTATACGTGGGCAAGAAATAACGCAGCAAAGAGGTCTCCCGAACCTGTGAAAGTTGCTGGTATTTTAGGAATATCTACCTTTATTAATGTATTATCTGAAATAAAGAAAAATAATGCAAATCTATAATCAATTCAAAGTTCGTTTTATCTTGTAGTGCATGATCAACCTTCTGCCGCGCTCACTACTGCCGTCAGTTTTTCACTAAGATCAGTTGACGATATAACTACAGTTTTTGGTCCATTACGATGTAATTTTTTAATAGCATTCTGCAATTCACTCATATTAGTGATTTTTTCATCTGTAAGTAATCTGAAAAAATGAATAAAAGCAATACATAAGTGATCATCAAGAGAATACACATTAATTTTTAAAAGTTATTAGCAATTTATGCAATTGTAATAATGATCAATAAATGGAAATTAATATCACTATGTTAAATATCACACATACTCTAATTCAAACTGGTTTGGAGTTACTATATCCGCTAATGGTATTATCTCCTCTTTGTAAATTTCTTTCAGTGCTTCTGGGACATACATCTTGCCATTGTCACCCATAACAGGATCGCAAACTAATATGAAAAACGTATAATAAATAAAATTCGTGAAAAAAATTTGATCACATAAAAATTACTGTTAAAAGATAATGTACCATATATAAGATTTGGATTTTTGGCTTTCAAAGTTGTGACTAGTAATGCCACTCTTTTCAAGAAGGAGGCAGAACCGATATATCCAGTTAATAAGTGTGTATAATTGTCTAAGTCATTTTGCACTAAACCATCAACTAGGTCCTCTAAAACAATAATTACATTAGAATTAAACTATAGATATATCTCGTTGCTAAATAAGCATATTTGCGTCATTTATTTCCCATCAAATTTTTACCTAAATCTTTATCATTGAGTACTTGGCCTTTAAATGCTTTGTAACCAGTATGATTAGACAACTGTACAGAATTTATTGCATCGACCTCAAAGCCTAATAACTAATAGAAACAAATTTATCTCTTAATATCAATACATAAATTTTAAACTTAATACATATTATTAATATATAAATTATAAACTTATTAACTACTTAATATATTAGTATTGTTTTAATTCACTCGTGTTTCATCAAGTATATAAAATTATTTGTTCAATTGTTACTTATTCTAAAAATTTTAAAACTAGTCTAGACAATAGCTTAGCGGAAACAAATTAAGCATCAGCAAGAATTATATTTAAATCGGAAAGAATCATAAAAAGATACCAAATTAATTTCTAAATTAATATATAAATGCTAAATATAATAGTAAGATCTGTCATCGTCATTGGAATTTTTTTTTCTCTGATGAAAGCATTTTATCTCTAAATATTCGTATCTTATCTGTAATGTTTTACATGCCTTTACTCCATGCAAAAAAAAATAATGATATTGGATTGTCGTGGGATTTGCAACTGACAATTCATGAATTGGAAGGGAAGGATCGTCGTCGATGGGAATTTGATGAAAAGACAATCATAAAATTCCTCCACAGGAATCACCTGCAACGGAAAAGTAGCGCTCTTATTGCCGACGTAGCCTGACACTACATGACTCTGGATCGAAAGAATACGCGGTGTCTTCGCGGAATGCATAGTTGACCAGCTGATTCGCGCTTCTGACACACTTGCCACAATTCACGTCCGCGACTTGTAACAACCGGCACCTGTTGTCGCGCTATCTCCTTCTTTCGATTGATCTTGATTTCTGCACCGAGATTGACGTAACCAATTGTAATTGTCGTAATTCACAAATACAGGAATTACGACAGGAACTTTGAAAAATTGAAGATGATGAAACCCTCGGACCGAAGCGTTCGAACCAAGAATACGTTCACCCCTGCTGAGTCATTCAAAAAGACTGTTACAGAATATTTTGGACTTTGGAGTCTAGGCTGTTCTATAATCTATACTGTACATATTAAATAACTTCAAGTTAATACTTATGTAGTGTTTACTCAATACAGTGCAGTGATTTGACGACAGCGAGCTCTGACATTTTTTAAATCTATTTTTTTTTAATTACGTTATACATTATACATTTGGTACTTAAAATAAAATAAAATATATATATATATATCTTTTGTATAATTATATCAATAAAATATATTATTAGATTTATAAAAAGTATTTAGAAAAGTAACACTCCTTTTGTCTTAAAAAAAAAGTGTTATATTATTATTAAATTTAATTTTGTTATTATTGAAATTATTGAAAAATATTTATATTGATAAATAATATAATTATACATTTAATAAATTTAATGGAATAATATAATAAATACTGATAAATAAAATAGCGCATAATACTATAATAATTTGTTTCATTTTGCAAATATAAAAATATTATAATGGAAATAAACTTCATAAAAATTCTTAATTATTAAGCTTCTTCGCAGCTAAATAATATCTACATAAAGAGATATAATAAAGAAAAAAAATTTATAGAATATCTGAGTGATATTTTTTTAGATCTTATTTAGCCTTCTTAATTTATTAATTCATTAATTTTTCCTTAAAATAATTTTCTTTAAATATTAATATGCGCTCTCGAATTGTTTTGTAAAATCATACATGATTTTATTATTATTCATCGATTTAAATTGATATTCTTTTAAATTTTTAAAATGAACTGAAAGGATCGAGAGATTCCATTAAAAGACGATAGTGCGATTTTAACTCGCAACCGCGCATCTAACTTCTCTATATCTATGACCGGATGCATGGTGATTTCCTAACCTAAATATGCATACCTGGTGTACCCGAGATCATTCACGATAATTATTTATTTTCGCGATAACGCTACTTATTCCTGCACCCGTTTGCAACGTAAGTCGTACAGAGCAATTATACTGTCGTCGTTTCGTGCGAGTGTCATGATTGTCATGAATCGATGAGCCTGAACCGTCATCGCAGATGTCCCCGATCGCAACAATTATATAAATAACCATTTTTCAGATTAATGACAATGCTGCAGTTCAGCGCGATGCTGTACACTGCGACTGCTAGGATCGCACCTCGCTCATCTTGGCGTTTCACCGCTCTTGTGGCCTGCAACTCCAGTACGGCAGTCACCAGCGAGCAACCCGCTACGAATGTAAAGTACAATTAACAACGATCTAATTTTTTTTTTTTTTTGATAAGCTCAATCTGGTAACAATCTTCACATTTCATTCACAATTTTTTTGGAAAAAAAGACTATATGTGGCTTTTTGTTTAGGAAGACAACAATGCTAATCTTTCAAAAATAGAAGATATCGTGCAGAAAAAAAAAGAGCAGCAACCTAAGGATATGAGTTTCCAGTCGACATTTCATACGACAGAAGAAAGAAATGGTAGGAGGAAACGATTGAATGACAGCAACTCAGTATTTTTCAAGCAATTTCAAGCCGCCAAGTCTGTAAACGATTTGTTGGACTTGGCAGTATTACCAAACCTGTCTACAAATAATGCTCTGAAGCTGATATCGAGCATAACTAATCAGATAAATAGTGGGAAATCAGAGATATCAGACATTGAGGCTGATGAACGATTTATTCACCTCAGGAAGATAGTTAAGAGTGATAAGAGTGATGAGGTGAACATTTATGAAAAATCAAATAATTTGTCTAAATACTCTCAATTAGCCACACCTGCAATGATTACTGTGAGTATGATATTTGTATGATTATACAATTTTAACACGTATAAAAGTTGATATATTTTTATATGAGAGTCTATGCCTGCAATATTTGCAGTTATCTACATCTGCAATAATTGCAGTAGGTACTATGTATATTGAATATATGTATTCACATATTTTTATATGATGAAGGTGATAGCATCGTTGAGAGAACAAAGAGACAGAAATACTCCACTATTAAAGATGTTGTCGTACAATATTGTCAAATACAATGTAACATTAACTTTAAACCAATGTGCGACTTTGTTGTATAGTATGGCCATACTTAATTTTCCAGACAAGGTATGCATATCATATTTATATGGATATATATATATATATATATATATGAAAACATAAGAATCAGGTTTGTAAATTATAACATATGCAATAGGTCTTGTTGGAAAAAATTGCATCTGACTTATTGAAGTATATACCAAAAAACAGGAACGCTGCTTTAAACAAATCCATAATAACGTCACTAGGATTTCTACGTTATAAAAATACTGATATACTTGATGCATTCTGTGACACCTTATATATGAAATCAATAGATTATAAATTTCTGCATTATTCATCAATAATACAAACGTTTGCGGCCCTACAGTATAAATCCCAGAAAACAAACTTGTTTCTCGAGGTATATTGAGACAATTTCATAATGTTTCTATTTTTATTTTAAATATTTGAAGTTTCTCTTCGAACGTAAGAAAATTTTATTTTCTTTGATACAAATATATATAATTTTATTATTTTTGTGATTAGAAATTTACAGAATATATAAGTCCATTTGAAACGTCTTGGATTGAATGGCTGGATATTATTTGGGCCTTAACAGTTTTAGATGTAGTGAAACCACAACACATACAAAACCTGTTGGACCCTTTATTAATGGAAAAAAATGGTTTGTATCTACTTAAATAATGTATCTAAAATTTATTTTGTATCTATATTGTATCAATGACATTAATTTCTTGTGACTTTTATAGCCTTTAATCAGTTAAATATATCAAAGATATTAAAATTATTAAATATCAACGCTGTTGCACAGTTTGTACTGAAGGATTATGAAGGTATACATTCGGATATGTACATATTTTAGTATATATTTTCAATAATACTTCATCAATATTTATATTGTTTTAAATTACAGGACCTTTTTTAAAGAAAGATTCAGAATTTAATAATGTATCTATAGTTAAATCAAAGGAAAAACAAATGTATATAAACGCATTATTGGAAACATTAACAGAAATGTTACCATCTTCGTCTTATTTTAAAATAAATTTTGATACAAACATGGGCTTTTTATTAGGTAAGTTTTTTAAACCAAAAATTAATGCCAGTATAATTTCCTAAAATTTGATTTCAAAATTGTAAATGTGTTAAGAAAAATATGTTAAATATTGCATTTCATTTATTCATAAATAAACCATTAATCTATTGCTATCTAAATAAATTCGGCGAAATTATATACTAATTTATTTTTTTTAACAAAATGAAATTTGGAGTAAGTAAATACAATTTTGTTAAATAAAAGAATACTATTTTTAGATGCTGAATATTGCATAGATAGTGAACACAGGTTTATGAAAGTGGAAGATTGGAATGAACGATCAAATAATGTACGAAGGTATGTATTATTAATAAAAAGAGCTATATTTTAATATTGTTTTAGTGAAAATTATTCTATAATTTAGTCAAAATTTTAAGATATTCTATTCATTTCCAAGTGATAAAAAATTATAAAATTTTATTTAGATATAAATTAATAATAAATTAATAACGATCATATATAACTTTCAGAATAGCAATAATGATGTACGATTACCACGATTATTGCATAGGACAGAATGATCTCGTAGGATCGCAATATTTATATACGCAATTATTAAAAGCCAGAGGATACGAAATCATAACACTTTCTTATGAAAACTTCAGTGCACAAGACAATGTAAAAAAACGGATCAACTACTTGAAACAATGCATGAATCGTATAAAAGAAATGAAGCCAGCAAAACAAATGAAATCGATATAGTTTAATATTGGCCTAGTCCAATAAAATCCAAATAAATATTTAAAAGGAATGTATAAAAATAGATGCTTTCATTATTCCTTATACGCACTATAATTAGAAATGAATTAAATGTTATTACTCGGTTACTAAATTATTTTATTACTGCATTATCATACTGCAAACTAGTGAAAAAAGGACGAATAAAAATTTTCTCTTTAAATATCTACAATCTTTTTATCTCTTAATAGTAATTTTATTTACATTGAATAATATTTTATGTAACTATAATTATGAAGTAGCTACTTTATTCTTTATATCTCACTGCTATTCCAATAAAGATCACTGTGGTGGCCGCCAAGGTTCAATCTTTGATCTTGTGGTGCTGTAAGGCATGTAAGCTTGATCTGTGCCACTCATATTTGGTTGATGATCCATCATCCATTTATACTTTGGTCGAGATGGATCTTCGTGTGGTGGTAAATCTGTCTTGTAATGCAACCAACCAAACCATTCAGGTGGGACTTGTGAACCATCATAATTCAATCCAACTTTATCTGCATATATCACCCATCTGTTACGACCTATAAAGAATATTAAATAAACATGATATTAACTGTATTTTACACTGTTATATACTTTCAAGACTATAAGATTAAGGATGCTTTCTAGCAAGAGATAAATAACAATAAATTACTATACTTATTATACTAACCTTGTTATTTACTAATGTTAAATAACATGATCATTATCTCTTGCTGGAAAGCAACAGTATAACACAGTAAATTATTTCATCTTTGTTTAATATTAGCAAACAAGGATATAATGATTTACTAAGTTACATTAGCTTTCAATGTTCAGTTTAGATGCTCATGCCCTATAAATCTCATTCTATCTTTCTTATGTGATACATAATGAGCGAAAAAAATGAAGCGAAAACATTGCTTGAGCAATCAAATTAAATACAGTCAGTGTCTTGCTGAAAAGTATCTTAATAAAAGTGACATGTATATCCAATAAATGAGAATGGATTAAAATGAATTAAAATTTTTTTCTATTTGAATGCATATTTTGAATAGCGAATACTTTTTTTATAGATTTAATTGGATTCAATTGGATTCAATTAGATTCAATTGAATGCAATTGGATTGAAAAACTTTCCTATTCAAAATTTTGAATTGACAATTATGTTTGTATGCGTAGAAAAAGCTAATATTATTTTTAGATTAAAAGGATAGAGATATACTTTATGCAATTCCTATAAATGAATAAAAATGCATTCAGAATTGAAAAACATTCATTTTACATTACATTTTCACATTCGTGAATCAATATTTCTAAAAATCTGAATCCATTTCAATTTATTTCAAGCTATTCTTGTTTGCTAGATGTATAGACATTTATATTAATCTGACATTTATACTTATAGTGTACATATTAATGTATATTACTTAATAATAACTGACCTAAAAAGTACATATTATTCTCATAGTATCGATTGCCATACTTGTCTTCTCCGATCAAGGTACCACTCTTCAATTCATCCACTCTGAAATGAATTTATTGTATATTCACTACATTAATTGTAAGAATATTATGTTGACACATTGCATTTATATTGCAAAATATTTTCTGCAGAAATGTTATAATACATTAGTAAAATTTGAACAAGCTGCAAGAGATCAAAGTCAAATACAGAACAGAGTTACACAATACTGATCAAAGTGATACTATTTTGAACATTCGCTGTATTACTAATATAACTGCTAATATGCCTAATAACCTGAAAAACGTTTTGAAGGAACCGATAATACCACCATGGTCGCGTATTGTACGAAATAACGTCGCAAATTTATCCAACCCTAATAACTTCGTCAAATTTGCCATATTTACTTCTGTAAGTAAAGCGTGAAGTTGACTAAAGTCGATTCGGTAGGGTCGCCAACATTTAAAGTCACTCGATATGTCCTAGTTTAATTTATGGCATCAGGATCTAGGAATTTACAAAAAAATACTTTGGCAATCTTGATTTTGAATACACTATACATTAGTTTATAGGTTGTATACTCCGAGATTGTATACTCTAAATTGTAATAAAAAAATATTAAAATATGATTTCACGTTAGATAAATTTAATATACTGTCGTTAGCGTTTTCGTTGGGATAATTGTGTGATCGCTTTTATTGTTAGATTCAATAAAACAAATTTTTATTTTTTTTTTTTTAGAAAATATGTATAAATTAACAGTTATCGAGAAAAATGTACGAACACAGTTGCGATGTATAATTCGTATGAATACGACTAGTGCAAGACAAAAACAAACTCCAACCGAGTATTGTTTGCAGTTGGTTAGGTACTTGTTTTTACTTTGTTAAATTGAAGCTGCACAAATATAAACAAGAATTGTACATTTATGTAATAAATGTAACAATATTATTTTAATATATAATATAATATTAGTACATACATTCCAGATATTGTAGTATTGCATTTACTTAACATATTTAAATAAATTTTTCAAAATTTCTATTTCTTGAAGAATAGATATACTTAGTTGTATTTCTTTGGAATAAAACTAAATAAAATTTTTTGCAAGATACATCAAAATAATTGTGCAAGTTTGTATATAACAAAATCAGCAAAAGCTTCAACAAAATCTACTCAAAATTGTTTTTCTAGGAAGAGCGATTATGAGAACTTTCTATGTACGCTATTACTTCCTCATAGTATTAAATCGACGGCTTTTGCTGTACGTGCGTTTAATGTCGAAGTGGCACAAGTGGAAGATCAAGTGAGTGACAGTAAGATAGGTGCTATGCGATTACAGTTTTGGACAGATGCTCTGAACAGAATTTATAATGGTAATCCTCCGAAGAGTCCCGTGGCATTGGAATTACATAGGGTATATAAATAGATCTTATTGTTCCAAGATACATTCGTATGACTGTTGCTGAAAATCAGAGATCTTTCGCACTTGCAGATTCTTCAGCAACACAAACTATCTAAACGCTATTTCAAGCGCTTGATTGACGCTCGCTTGAGCAAGCTAAGCAGCTCTATATTTATGGATTTGGAATCGCTCGAAAGATATTGTGATTATACTACATCATCAATTTATTACTTGCTGCTAGAGGCACAGGGTATAGCAAGCATCAATGCTGATCATGCAGCTAGCCACTTCGGCAAAGCACATGGTCTAGTCACCTTGATACGTTCTGTGCCATATAATGCCCGGAAACGAGTCATAATATTGCCACAGGATGTTCTGCTAAAACACAGCATTTCCTCTGAATCCATCTTTCAGGGACAATCAAGTGCTGGATTTAAAGATGCTATACTTGAAATTGCATCTTGTGCCAAGCAGCATCTGAAAGTGGTAGGCAATAGATAATTTAGTAATATACATGGAATTTAATTGATATCAAGTCAATCTGCGTCTATGACTCGCAATTTTCATGTTTTTGCATTTAAATGAAAAGGTTGGGAAAGTTTCCGATTTGTACGATATTATTAGGTGTTGGAATTAATTCGTAGCGTTTTACAAGTGATGGGAAGTACTTTCATTAATGTATTTTTTAATGCTCATGTGAAATAAATAACATTCTTTCATTAAAAAACGCTACGAATTAATTCCAACACCTAATATTTTTTTTGTTTTAGGTAACATCGCTTAGAAAGACGACTGGGAAGAATCTTAACGTGATATTTCTACCGACAGTTTGCGTGGAAAATTATTTAGAAGAATTAAAAAATGTAGACTTTGACGTTTTTCACCCAACATTACAGAGAAGAAATGGCATCCTTCCATTACAATTACTGTGGAGAAAGATGTGGTCTTAGGGTGACTTTGACCAGACTCCAATTAATTTAATCAGAGACTGATTCAATCGGCAGTTTTGCTGTAAGATCTCTAGCTATATGTAATTCGTTATCCTTAATTTAATCTTGTTTTTCATTAAGTAACAAAAAATTTATTCTATCCGTATTAAGAATTATTAAACGAACGTGTGTTTAGGATAACTTTGATCAAACGTCAATTAACTTATCAAATAGTTGTATATATTATTTTATTTACGTAGATAGAATTAAGTTTTTGTTAATATTTGAAAAAAACGATTAAATTGAAAATAATGAATTATATAGTTAAAAATTTTAAGTTAGCTCCTGATTGAATTAATCACTGATCAAATTAATGGGGGTTTGGTTAAAGTCGCCCTTAATTATTAAAGTTTGAAATTAGTAAAAATAATATTTAATATGTTTTAGTCATTTATTATCCTAATTCCAAATTAATTTAAAAAATTTCAGATCGCAAAGAATCAGGGTATCAAAAAATTTGAACAAAATGAGATATCAACCAGGACGCAATGTTTGAAAAAAATGTCCCAATTATCTGGATATTACCATGAAACTTTATCCCTAGGATGGAAAGTGAAAAGTGAAAATTTTAACCATTGAAGTTGATAGAGAAATTTTTCACTTTACTTTTCATCCTAGGAAAAAAGTTTCATGATTGATATCCAGATAATTGGAAGGACATTTTTTTCAAACATTGCGTCCTGATTGGCTGATTTCTCGTTTTGTCCAAATTTTTTTGGCGGCAATCAATTTTACAATTTTGGAGATTTCTTTACGCGTATCTGATGGTTTTTATCCGTAAAAATACCTACAGGTTTTATTTTTATAAATATATATATATATTCCTACATAATAAAATAGTAGTCGAATTTAAACCAGTATTGCGAAACCGTTCACACACGTGACCCCAAGTTGTTGAATCAAAAGAATTGATGCGCTTCATTCTACTTATATATTTGTTCCACGTTCGATGAATGAGAATGGGACCATAGGACATAGAATTAAGCAATTTTTGATTACATTGAACTTATGACAATCAAGGCCATTCAAAGTCTGAACGAAACAGAAAGAATTGTGTCTCATTTATGTTCAAATTTTGAATTTTTTGGTATTCTTAAAACTTATTTCGACGATCGCAGTTCATAACCATCATAATTGACAACAATTCATAATCAGAAACAATCGGGAAGCAATCTCACAATCGTAAGTAGTCGTCCCTTATCTCTTTTATTAATTTGTTCAGTTTATCATTTTGTTTATATCTATATCTCCCAGCTCTCTTATCTGTCGTTTGTCGTAAAGTTTTATACAAAATACTTTCGTAAATTATTTATATCTTATCGAACAGTAATTGAACTTGTAGTTGAACGATTTTATTACGTTTATTACATTAAGGTTATAATGCTAAAACAGTGCAGTAAATTAGTAATGAATTTTTTAATATAAGTTCTTGTTACATAGATTAAACACTTTGTTTGATATATAAATGAGCTTTGTTTAATGATGTATTAGAAAAAAAATAAAATTTTTGCTATTACAGGTCAAAATGTCTACTACATCACAGAAGCACAGAAACTTCGTGGCTGAGCCGATGGGAGACAAACCTGTGACCGAACTAGCTGGTGTCGGAGAGGTGCTAGGAAAAAGATTAGAGGCTGCAGGCTTTGATAAGGTAAATATTTCTTTACATTCATAATTTTAGTTGAATGTAAAGAAATCTGAATCACTCTTAATGTGACTCTTAAACAAATTCTAATTTAATCGTATCTTATCAAGTAGCAGTATTTTAGTATATTATAAATTATATGATTGACTTGATTATAATTATATGATACTTTTGCTGTAAATATTTCTGCTAGTTGGACTAATTAATCTAATAAAAATTTAGTTAAAGTTTGTAGTAGTTTATATTATAATTGAAAGAGTATTCCCACATTTATAATTATGGTAAAAGACAATAATTACATGATTTTTTATCAGTCTTTTTGAATATGAATTAATAATGAATTAATTATGAATTTTATTAATAGGCATATGTAGTCCTGGGACAGTACTTAGTGTTAAAGAAGAATAAGGAGCTATTTCAAGAATGGATGAAAGATGCTTGTTCGGCGAATGCGAAACAGTCAACAGATTGTTATCAATGTCTCACTGATTGGTGTGAAGAATTTTTGTAATTGTGATAGATTTGACTTAAATATTCTTAAAGAAACAAACTATAAGTTTAATTATAAAGTTATATGACATTATGCAAAATGTAAAATATATTTTAACATTTTATATATTTTTAATATATCTTGCTTATAAACTTTAAACAGTAAACATAAAACATAAAATTTATTTTTGCAAATTGAATAATCACATTTTATAATCAAATAGTTGTTATCACATGTATTTTAGTAATTATTTAGTATTTGATCACTAAGAATGTAGAATGACTTTTTTTTGTATTCATTCCATAATCAATTAGAATTTCAGTGAACCATATTAATAATAGCAATACAATGGATTAAAGAAATTTGAGATTTTTGTACACATTAAGATATTGAAAAAAATATTACTTCAATGAACACAAAAATTATAAAAACAAAAATGCAGTCTTAGATGTAAGTACATTGACACGCTTATATAAAATGTGAATGTAATATTTAAACAGAACAAAAAAATAAAAGGATTTATTCTCTAATAATATTCTGGTTGAAAAGTATTGATTTCTGATTATTTAGACAAAATATTTAAAATAAAATTTACGTAGAAAAGATAATAGTTTCATATATATATATATATTTTAATTATCGCATTTTATTTTATTGGGTCATCTAAAAAGTAAATATATGTATATATATATATATATATGAAACTGTTTTAAATCGCACTAGATCGTCTTAAAGTCGATATTGGAAGGACGTCTGTATAAAGTCGACTTACAGTCGACTTTAAAGGCCTGATTTAACAAAGTCAACTTATAGTCGACATATCGACGTTTGTGCTATTAGAGTAATTTTCATCTCATTTTAAAATACACAATCGAGCCTCTTATTCACACATTTTAAAATAATACGTTCCGATGTACAATTAAAAAAATAATTTTCCTGCCAATCATCATTTACTTCTACTCTTGGAAATATTATCGCGGTATCGCGAGATCGGTATTGTTTCCAATCTATGTTACAATGGTCATGGAGTAGTCTGCGGTTGTATTCTCGTGTGAGGTTAAGTTTATGTGCCGATGATTGTGTAATGAGGTTGTTTACAGGCGTTACAGGTGATTCTAGCCATCGTATTCATAGTCGTACGTTTGGGAAAAACATATATGACATTAATCGCAAGATCGTGTAGATCTTGATTTTACGATTGAGTTTCGAAAATGAGAATCGCTGTGGAAGGTTGCGCTCATGGCGAACTGGACATTATTTACGAGACTATACAGGAAATAGAAAAAATCGATGGAAGGAAGATAGATTTGCTTATTTGCTGCGGCGATTTTCAAGCTGCCAGAAATTTAAATGATCTAAAATGTATGGCAATATCGGACAAGTACAAGGATATGTGTACATTTTACAAGTGAGTATTGTTTAAGCAAGAGTTGGTTAAACTAAATGTAAGCTATTCATAGCATTACTTAAAAAGCAAACAGTTGGCAGTATGTTAGCAATCTGCCAGTAGATCAACATATTGTAGCAGAGTGACATCAATTGCATCTGTTAGTTTCAAGCGTGTTAGTTAGCTATAGGATAGAAAGATTCTAGAATCTTTATCTTACAGCCAAACAAGATTTAAAAAGATTAATAGATTTGAAAAATTTGTCATAAATAATAATAATATCATCTTAAATTTGTTATTCATTATCTTGTTGGCAGAATGCTAAAGTGCTAAAGTAAGCAGATTGTTAATAGAAACCAAACAGAATTAATTTTATATTAAGTAGAACATATCAAATGATTAAAATGATTACAAAATGGCAGATTATGCTTGGTTTCTACAATTATTTTGCTATTATATTTCATTACTTTTGCTAGCATTCTACTGATAAAGTTTGCGGATATTGCAATGGATATTTAGCAAAATTTATTTTGAACAAATTTTTTACTTGATTATTCAGATAAGCTATTTATATGTTTAATGATATTTAATAAGAAAACAACATATTTTTATAATATTGATGTTATATTACAGATATTATTCTGGTGAAAAGAAAGCTCCTATATTAACCATTTTTATTGGAGGCAATCATGAAGCATCAAATTATCTGCAGGAATTGCCATATGGAGGATGGGTTGCACCTAATATTTATTATCTTGGATACGCAGGTGTGATACAAGTAGCTGGAATCAGAATTGCAGGACTTTCTGGTATATATAAGAGTCGACATTGGATGCAGGGACATTATGAGAAGCCTCCCTACACTGATAGTACTATACGAAGTGTTTATCATATCAGAAATATAGAAGTGTTTAGACTAAAACAAGTAGGTATTAATTATCACGTTGATTAATGAAATTGTATTAGGTGTTGGAATTAATTCGTAGCGTTTTTAATGAAAGAATGTTATTTATTTCACATGAGCATTAAAAAATACATTAATGAAAGTACTTCCCATCACTTGTAAAACGCTACGAATTAATTCCAACACCTAATATATTTCTATACTTCTTCAGCTAATCATACAATTTTAGATAAAATTATAAATGTTCTTAGATAGTTGGAAAATTACATATAGATTTTTTTGTTTTTAGCTTTCTGGCAAAATTGATATTTTTTTATCACATGATTGGCCAGCAGGAGTAACAAAATATGGAGATGAAGATATATTACTGAAACAAAAACCATTTTTTAAGTAAGTTTTCAATGACAAGACTAAACATTAATGCAAAATTCTATTGAAATTCGATAGACATATTTCAACGGTTAAAATTCAATATTAATTACACTATTTCAATATTAATTACACTTTGCTATTTTAGGGATGACATAGAAAGCAATACGCTTGGCAGTCCTCCATGTATGGAACTACTAGAACGTCTTTATCCGTCCTACTGGTTCTCCGCGCATTTGCATTGCAAATTTGCAGCACTTGTTCCTGAGAAGGGAGGAGCACGAGTGACAAAGTTTTTAGCGCTGGACAAATGTCTGCCGAAACGGAAATTTCTTCAAGTGCTGGAGGTGCGTTCACAGGAAGACGGTCCAATACAATTGAACTACGATCTAGAATGGTTGACAATACTTCATCTGACAAATCATCTGTTGAGCATCAAGAGCAGTATCCATTATATGCCCGGTCAATATGGCGGCGGCAGATGGACGTACACACCCACGGCAAAGGAGAAGCAGATCGTGTATGAGAAGTTTGGCTCCAATCTACGAATTCCTCTCAACTTCACTCGAACTGTCAAACCATATGATCCGTGTGACATGAATACTCGGATCGAATGGCCACGATTGCTGATAAACGATCAGACTACCCGATTCTGCAGGATGTTGGGTATCGATGATCCTTCTGCTTTACTACAGATTATCACAAACACTACAATGAATAACAGTAGATCGAGCGAATTGTCGATGGAGACATCCGGCGAGTACACGCCAGAATCCATGGATATCTCATTTGACGAGGAAAGTGTATTCAGTTCCACCTTCGAGGAGAATTCACACAAATATTTCGTCGACAACTCACCGACGAATTTTTCTCCTAAGAGTGATGGTGATGATTCGGATAACGGGGATATGAGTAAAAGCACCTTGGACGGAACAGTTAATAGCTCGACCACAGAAACCACTACAGAAATTGCAGATTCCGCTTCGATGGACGACAGTAAGTAATGTTATCACAAAATAACTTGTAACTTTGTTAATAAAACGATGTGTAGAATATAGAGAATTCTTAATGAAAAGTTTTGAAATGATTAGATTGTTTATATTACAGGTAGCGAACAAACTGGTTGTGTTCAAACCGAGCCGAACTGCAAAAAGTTTAAACGTCGGAATTATTCTGTATACTCTAGCACGTTTTAACTGTGATAGTGTCTTCCTTATTAGGTATTTGCGTCTGTCACTCACTTGTTTTCATGTGGACTTTTTCTGTATTATATCTAATTTGTAAATAGCACGAAATTTTTATAATCGATTACATATATATTGAAAGCTTTCAAAATAATTTGTTAATTGATCATCCTTGTCAATGTTTATTGATCACAAATATAGATTACCTTTCCTTTTCCTACAAATGTTGGCATTTATCAGTTTTGTTTTTATCAGTCATGCTGCAAAACTTTCCTTCGTAATTCCGCGATAGATATTTGACATTAGTTTTTCATAATTAGTTTTTTGATACTGTTTTTTTTTAAATAATTTTAAGCTACATGTCTCAATGTATAAATCTTTATCTTTATTTAGTTCTTTTACTATATTCTTCATTTATTAATTATAGAATATGTTTAATAAAATATTATATTGTATTAATAAAACACAGCACAAAATTTTGTATAAGTAAAACGCAATATAAAATATTAGGTGTTGGAATTAATTCGTAGCGTTTT